GCTGTATCCCCAGGTCTGTTATGACCTTGAACACCCACGCCACCGTCCCGTCCCCGCCGCACACGAGGATCCGCAGCCGCCGCCGCACGAGCGCCGCGTACGCGCTGCCCGCCGCCTCCTGCTCTTCCAGGTTTGACCACAGCGCGCGCAGCACGCGCTCGGGGCTGTTTTCCGACAGATCGAAGACCTGGGAGGGCGGAAGCAGGGGAAGAGGGCGTGGGCAGAGACGCGCGGAGCGGCGTGTGGGCGCGGGCCGGGGGGGGTGTCTCGGGCCGCGTGTTACGGGCGCGGCTGCGCAGCAGCGGCGAGCGCCGGCCTCAAGCGAGTTGGATTGGGGTGGGAGTGCGGGGGCCGTTGCGCCGGGCCGCCGCCCGCTGATGCTGAGAGTGGTGCGAGGGCTGCGGCGACTCGGTTTGCTCTGCAGCTCAGCCGCGCGACAGCGGCGCCGGCCGCCAGCCGCCCTGACCATCATCCAACGGCCGCAAAGCGCCGGCCGTCGCCCCAGCCTCAGCCGCAGCCTCCCGCGCCGCCGCGGCCCCGCCTCGTGGCCGCGCAGCCTGAGCCAGCCAAGCCCCCGCGCTCCGCCTGCAGCGCGGCCAAGCCGTTGTGCTCCGCCGCGGCCCCGCCGCGCCCCGCCCCTGCCCACCTGCGACGTGCCGATCGCGCGGCTGAGCACCTGGGCCAGCCTGGGGCCAACGCGGCCGCCAGACCTGGCATTGATGAAGACAATCAGCGGCGTCTGACCGCGGTCAAACTCGGGGCCCAGGTCCTTGCGCGTGCCCTTCAGCAACTCCGGCGTGACCCTGCGTGTGTTTCCGGGCGTGCAGAGGCGTGGGGCCGCGGCGGGTCGAGACGGGGCATGGCAGAGCGCCCGGGCCGCGCGAGCGGTCAAAGGTTTGGACCAAAAAAGCGGCGGGAAGGCGCGCGGCGCACCTGTACGGGGCTCGCAGGTCCGTGGCCGTCCTCCACTTAACGTAGGCCTCGGCGTCCTCTGCCGGCGCGTTCAGCTGCGGCGCGGGCGGTGCAGGGCGGGAGGTTGCGCGCTGCGGAAGGTGCTCGCGCGGCGAGCCCTGCTGTCACCAGCTGCCCGCACAGGGTCGCCATGCGCACGAAGGTCATGCAAGGCAGGCGGTAGCGCCTCACCTCGTGAGGCTCCACGTCCCCATACCGTCCAGGCGCGTCGGCCATGGCAGTCTCTCTCTCTGTCATAAGCGGGACGCCCGGCACAGCTGCCGAGATCGCCGGCACCTTCTCCTTTCTTTGGGACCTGCCCTCATTCGATATCAGAGCTCCCTTGCCGTACAGGGGGGGCACAGCCACCTTGGCGTCCTGATCAGCCATTGCGCGCTCCTCCATTCCTGCTGCGCGCGTCTGGCCACCGCGCCGTGCAATCAATGGCGCACCACACTTCAAAGCTGTTCAATTTTGATATGAGGTCGGCTGCTCTCGCGACAGTGCGACGCACAATGCCACCACATCCGGGTGTGTGAGACACACCCGGCGCCCAGGGCACTCGACCTGGGCGTGGCCAACTGCCCCCAGAGAGGCCGCCTCAAGACCACAGCCCCAAGGTTATGGAGGTTGCAACAATGGATTTGAGCACAATGCTGCTTGCCACATCTGCCGTGTGCAGTGTCTATGGTGGTAACCACTCAAGGCGCCACAGGGTAATCGATTTCTCTGCATTGTATGCATGCTACTACTGACTTGTCTGTGAGGTATACTTTCTTTACAGCTTGGCTGAGAAGCGAGACCAACTTTTGAGACCTGACGCCCCCCAGGTCATCAATAGCTGAGGCGGTTTGGGCCTGCGAGGCAGCTGAGCCGCACATGGATGCGGCAGGCATCACATGCACAGGGGCAAGGCGGCGTGGGCCCCCAGACATCGCACTTCCATGGTGCCAGGGATGTGATGATTTGAGTGTAAGGGCACATCTGGTTGACACCTGGAAGCTACAAGTGTGGCCGCGTCACTCATGAAAGATGTGGGCTGCTGCATACCTGGTATGCAGGTCGGCCGAGGTGCGATGCAGGGGCTAGCGCCCCTTTTGGATGAAAGTTGCACGCTCTTTAGGAAGCTAAGAGCCCAGCCCTTTCTGTGTCGAAGTATCAAAGGTAAGGCGAGGCGACCAGGCGCCTTGTGCAGGTATGGGCTGGAAATCGCTTTTGCGTGTGGGGCTTGCTAGCATCAATATCACAATTCGCAGCAATGACCCGCCAAATCCAGCGAAGATCTCCTTGTTGTGCGACATCTATGCTGTGCACTGGGTTAGATACAAACAGCCAGGTTGCTGCGATAGGCGTAGCAGCTGTTGGTGTTGCTGTCATGCAACTCCAGCCCTCCCATGACCCGCATGCGCCAGCTCGACATGCTGCCCAAGGCCAGGTGTGCATGAAGAGTCTGCACAAGCCGAGTCCACAATCAAAGCGTCGTGTCATGCGCACACTTTGACACCAGCTGCCTCAACCCACCTGGCCAGAGCTCCGCACAGTTTGCGCGAACCTCTTGGGCGGCCAGCGCCAAAATCTTGGGATGGCAATGTCCCATGTCCTATGCGCTCCACGGGGTTTGAGCCTTACACGATGAAATGCTTCATGTATTCATGTCTCCCGCCACAGGCATTCCGCCCCTCGCTGGTTGGGCGCGGAGCTGGCAAGGCAGCAGACGATTCGAGTTGGCGGATGTTTTGAATCCTCGCTCCCGTCCGTTGCCATACTCTTGTCAACAATGACGTGCAGCCTGTTTATGTGAACACACAGCAGACACCCTCTCGCTCCCTGTCGTATTCTTGTCTAAAACTCTGTCAGACCCGCAACGCGGGTGCTGCCCGTTGCTCAGGAGCTCATTGGCATCTCGTATACCATATATATCACCATTGTCCCCTCGGCAGGTGCGTGAGGCTGCCTCTGGGGCGTGTCTGTCCTCGGGGAAGTTGGCCTTGTTTTCTAGGGATGTTCGGCGTTACCATGGTGATTTGGCACATTACACACAAGTAAAGCCATATGTTAAGGCCACCGGGGGTTGGTGGAGCCGACGGCATCCGCTCCAACATTCGTTTGTGCCGAACATTACCCTCGTCCGCGCAGGCACAGGGCAGCTCTTCAGCGCCCAGCCCAAGCCCATTGGAGGCGCACTGTGAAATCCAAGCGGTTTGATCCTAAATTGCCCAGGCGCCAGCAGGCAGACAGCTTCCGTGCGCACACGAGGGTGACTGCCAGCAGTCACCAGCACGTGCGGGCACACGCCAGAAGGCCGCTCGAGGCGGGGCAGGCAGCAAGCGCCCCAGACCGTACGCCGCTGCCAGGTAGTTGCTGGAACGGCGGCGCGAGGCAGCGACTGAACCTAGCCAATGGACAGCTCGCGGAGCGAGCGTGCGGGTGCCGCGCTTGCACCTGCGCCGCGGCCCATTGATACAACGCGCATCCTGAACCTCTTCGGCTACGTGGGTCCCGTGGCGTCCCTTATGACGCACACGTTGTTCAGCCACAGCTACAGCGGCGGCGGCGCCGCCGCGGCCGCGCCGGCGCCGCCGCGGGCAGCCAGCCAGGCCCTCAGAAGCCTCGCAGACGGCCGTGCGCGCGCGCGCGCGCCGTCAGACGGCGGCGTGGGCACAGGCGGGCGGACGCGGTTTGTGCTGTCGCGGACGGAGGACGCTATTGATTCGGTGCTTCCCTGTGCGGCAGAGCGCATGTTCAAGCGGCCCGGCAAGTTTGGCAACCCAGGCGGCCTGCGGTTCACCTACGACGCTTGATCGGGAGCCCGAAGTTGGGACGGCAGCCAGATCCTGCAAATGGGGACACAGCAGGAGTGCCAGGGGCACACTGCATGGTGGAGGATGGCGGCGTCACCTTATGACGCGTGCGCTTGGGCGGGATGAGCCCGTTGGGCTGGAGGAGCTCGTTTTGACTATTTCATGGCGACCGCGCCCGCCGGCCAACAGGCGGG